TCACGCACACACACAAATTCCACGTGCCGCCCATGTGCCCCCAATATATAAAAAAAGGTTAAATGGATACTGAATAGGGTTAACAAAAGCTTGCCCCCAAAACGACATCACTGAAAGCTAGTGCCCCAAAAGATACTTGTGCCCCCCACTGGTAAAATCCTAGCTACGCCACTACCATAAGCGCACCCATTTGGGTTTTAACTCATCTGAAATATTGCGTCAGGGATAAGCGAAGCATTTTACCAGAACAATAAATATTCATATCAGGGAAAAATCAAATGAAATTCTCTTAGATTTTTTTCCCGGAAATTGTATGTTATGAGGTTGGTGCGTTTGCGTTAATACAAATAGAACTTTTTTTTTTACTTGTACCTCGTTTTCCTTTAACATTTTTTTTCTGTTTTTTTCTTATAGTACAACAAATCAATGGCCACCCGGACGCAGATGCTAAACATGGAGGGAATTTGTAAGTAAAATTATCTCTTAGAATAAATATTTAGAAAGACATTCGTACCTCTTTCGTAAATCAATAAGGGAACAAACATTTGCTTGGCCGGACTTTTACAACTACACTGTATGTTTAAGACTGCAGTGGTTTGGGAATCTAATGATTACCCGAACATATAGCAAAGGCCATTATACAAGCTTTATTGTTATCGGATTCACGAATGAAATAAATAAATACCTTTTGGTACAATCGACAAAAATCCTCCCAATTATTCGTATATGTACACTTCATGGACTCGCTGTTGTGTGGGCCCTTTCCATATCCATGTTCACGGGCCACTGTCAAATGACTGTTTCTGCCTTTATCACCCACATGCCAACAAGAACTGGATCATCTAACTAACCACGATGACCTTATATTGCCAGTGGTGATCAACAAGAAAAATAGAAAACAGTTTAAATGTGTTCACTCGGATATGTTGTTTTGTCAATAACATCAAAAGCAACACTGCAAAATGAATATGCAATCGAATTTGACAATTTTGAATTTGATAAAAAAATTACTTCGCTTTTTGGGGGTAATTTATTTGTAAACCCGGAGGTTCACTAAAGAGCGTACGATAGCCCTTGAGATAAACTTATCAGGTTTTTCAAGAAGTTTACATTCACTGCTCTTTTTTGGCAGTTCTATATTTTGAATGTGTTCGAATGGTTTTCAACAAAATGGGTCTCATACCCCTACATTTCCCATGGAACATTTCGCTTCTTTGAATAAAAGATACCCTTCAACAATGTGACACCAAAAGAGATTAGGAAAACTAATCAATGTTTGTATCTACTTTTGACAATTCCGCAAACAGATTATTTTTTAAGGTTTTAAATTATGTAATATCTTAATTAGTTTACTGAAATGCTTTAACAATCAGGCACTATTGTTTAATGCTTCGACCTCAGCAAACCATACATGTAGTTCACGCACATAGCGTTATACTGTGTCATTAATTAAGCAGTACCAACTACACGTGTAGAATTGATTTGATCTAACATGACACGTGCATTAGAACAGCAGCAATCTTGTCCGTGTCTTATTGCATTAAAAGTCAGATTATAGCAAAGCATAGGACACTACAAATTACTAATAATCGTTTCAGCAGTTTAAAATGTAATTGCTCGTTGACCCTACATTCCCTTGGTTTCACAACCCACTCACCATTGAGGAATTGATTTAGCTTCTTCAACGTAAATACATTTCAAAATTGCCGCAGCGCCTCTTGAACCTAGTGCAGTGTAGCGTATAAGACAATGACATAATCCTTGTTCAGACTGGTGGCAGCTGCTATTTTTGTTAACCGTAGAGTGCATTTTGTTTAGCAGTGTATGACATTGGTAAGCACAGAACATTTACGTTATAGAAGGTGTTATAATGGCTATCTTGGACATATTTTATGCAGGGCGTACCGTGCCAATTATTGTGGCGCGACTCTTTACGAGAAAGTACGTGAGACTTGCCATGCTGTCCGAGGAGTCTCCAACCAAGGTAGTGAAGTCAAAATCAACTTCAATATACTGTCTCTCACCAGTGGCGTAGCCAAGCGAGGCAAGGGCCAACTAGGCCCTGTGGGAACGTTTGCTCTCCCTCTTGCCTTATTACACCTCTGTATCTCACTAACCTTTTGTCGAGCAAAAAATAAACCAAAGCTAATAGAATTTGAGTATTTAAACTGCCCCTGCACGTTTTTGGAAGGGTTTTCCAAAAGAAGAGATTTCATAATCTAAGAACGTGAAAGCAAAGTACTTTAACTGATGCTGTCATAAAAACCTCATTCTCTCCAGAGATTGCAGAAACTGAAATCAAGAAAAGTTTTAATTTTCATCCAATTCCCTCTCTTTTTGGTTTCCGTTCTTTTCTTCCTCTTAATTTTTTGGGGGGTCTCACCTTCATCCCCTTGACAAATGCATGTCTCCATCAACAGACTGTACACGATATGCAGAAAAAGGCTGCAGAAGGACGTTTTCTTTATGTAAAGGGCCCTCCTGTTTCTCCGCTCTGTTGATTTGTGGAAGAGTCGATTTTTTTAAGGTGGAGCTGATGGTAACATACAAAAAGACAGATTTATTTTGGTGAAAACAAAATCATCATGCCACTTTTGTTTTCTCCTCACCTGTGATGCAGAGTTTCTGGATTCAAAGGACGCCAGCACATTCTTGTTCGGACGTGGTATCGAAAAGCGAGGTTTGCACCACGAATGCTGCACTGAAGGATGCAGCATCGAGGAGATTTATGAATCCTGCTAAAGCAGACACTGACCTGGCTAACTTCTTGCCATTGGCGTATTCAGCTTTACAACAAATAGAGTTTTCCGTCTTATTCCAAGATATGAGTGGTGGTGGTTTCTTCGCCGAAATAAATATCAAGTAAAATGGCATTTGCTTCCTTTTATGACAGTTTGCAAACATTGAATGGACAGGTCCTAGTTTAAACCCTTTTACCTCCCATTGCTCGGTGAATGAATTATACCCCGGAAGCCTCAGCTGTCTCAAAATAAAATCTTGGCTTCTTGACTTGTATTGCAAAAAACATACATTTTCGAAGTCTTGATCCAACCAAATCAATCCAACCTTTCTCTTAGCCGAGAACTGGACGGATCAACAGCGCATTAAAGATTTCTTTCAGGTCCCTCACGGTAGAAATGAAGCATAATACGAGACATAACAAGCTCACTTCTCAAACTGAACAACTTTCTTGTTAAGACAACTCTGTTTGTTTATACATCGACAGTTGCTCTTTAATTTATAGAAAGTGTTGTGTTTATCGAAGCATTTTAAAAACGAAGAATGACTCCTCCTTGCAGTGAGCGTTTGGGTTGTATATGATACCTGGGGAGTGTTTTAAAGCACGAAGAGAAATGCATTTCCGTACCACATTCACGCTTGTGCTTATTTAGAATTCTTCTTTCGGTAAATATATCTTTATGTACAAAAAAACGCCGCCCACGAAGGGTCTATGTTAAGATTATCTGGCCCTTCGGTTTTTTCTTTCTTTTCCTTGCTGTTTAATTTTTTCAACATGATTTTAATCTGCAAGCATGAAAGATTAAAGTTTACCTGCAAAACAGTCAGTTAGTAAACTGCGTGACGATTTTAAAAATATGTAAGGGCTATCTTCTGCATGATTCAGAACTTCGAACTGATATGTAAGATAACGGTCCGGGACATGATTTTAGTTAATGCGCTGAAGACTACATAATCTATATATAACCAAAGTCCTCGAAGCAAAAGGAGTAACTTAGGGGAAAGTCTCCCACAAATTGTAGTTGACCCAGCTAATTATAGGTCCACAAATCTGATTTTTGAAGTTACAGGTCGCTGCCCTCAATCTTTATTCTTTGTACTTGATTTTGAGGTTGAAAGGGCTTAATTGGGCAACCCAAGGCTGCTCTGTGGTCCCAAGTTTAGCAGTCTGCAGGTGTGCGAGGGGGCTCTTGTCATTCCACACTGTTGTGCTCCTGCCCAACAAATACTCTTTAAATTTCTCAGAAATTGCCCACTTAAGGGCTAGCAATTCCAACTTGAAGCTGGACAAGTCAGAACAACCCCTCTCGGCACCCTAAGACTGCGACTGGCATAAGCCACAGGGGGCAAATGGCCACTATCATCATACTGCAAAAGGCATGTACCAAGGCCCTTTACGGACGCATCTATTTCAACCACAAAATCACGGTCAAAGCGTGGGTTCGCCAGAACGGGAGCGCTGCACAGCGCCTGCTTAAGAACTGTAAAAGTTTCATCAGCCCCTGTGGTTCCCTGCTTTTGACAGAACCTTACCTACTAGCAAATTCAAAGGGGCAGAAATGCTGGCGAAATCGCGGACATACCGCCTATTACAGGACGCAAGTCCAAGGAACGACGGAAGTCGTTCAACAGTAGTTGGAAAGGGCCAATCCCTGATATGCTCTATTTACCAGGATGCACAAAAACTCCCTAATAACTCACAATGTGGCCTAGATGAGATACAGATCTTTTGAACAAGTGGCATTTGGAGCCATTGAGTTTCAACCCATTGTCAGTCAACCTACTGAAGAATTTGTCTAGTTTGTCCAGATGTTCGTCCATGTTGAATGAAAACACAAGCAAATCGTCTAGGTACAGTACCAATTCTGACATTCATGTCGGCAAAAAGCAATTCCATCATACGCTGGAATGTAGGCGTACTTGGACTGTTGGTCAGTCCTTGAGGCATACGCTGAAAAATGTATAATCCCCACGGGGCATGGAAGGCGGTTTTGGGTATGGTGTAGGAGTGTAATGCTACTGGAAAATAGCCATGGGCCAGGTCCAGAGAAGAAAATAAGCGGGCACCTAAGTGATTCCAAAGTCTCTACTATTCTGGGGGGAAATGCATCTTTCAATGTTTTGGCATTTAATTGCCTATAATCGATGCACATAAACAGTTCCGGACCAAGACCACAGGGCTGGCGTAGGGATTACTAGACTTCCTGACAATGTTCCTATCTAGTAGGTCCTGCAGAAGTTTCTTTACCTCTTGAATCTGAATCTGGGACAACGCTAGGGTATGTCAAAAATCAGATGGAGATTTATTTGCGGGGTACCCAACCCATCATCATCACGATGCAACTTTAGACCAAGATTGCGTTTCTCAAAGAATGACATCGTAGGGTGGTCTATCACAAGCCACCTTATTTCCCGGCGGACAGACGGATCTGTAGTGCCTGTGATAAACTGCTCTTTCAGGGCCCCCTCTTTCAGCTGTTTTAAAGCCGCCTTTTAATTAGGGTTTGGCTGCGGCAGACTCCTTTCGACCATAAAACTGCATGATAGAGCAACTGAAATTGGCAAAGTTTTCGCCCTCCAGCTGCTTTCTGGAGTAGAAACTATGATTTAAAGATTGGACTGTTTCTGGTGGGCCAAATCGGGACCGCAAATGTTTACGAAGCTTGGAGAAATCGGTTATCTCACTGAAAGGGTAACAAAGAACTTCTTCAATCGCAGAACCATGGT